TCGTATTATATTTTTTTATTATAGATCATTATTTTCATGATTTGTAATATACAATCAATTTTTTTAGAGACACATCAACATCATTTATAGATAAAAAAGAAGTCTCAGATGATATCACGTGTACCGTCGATGTAGCTGCTTATAGAAAAATAAAAAATCAATTAATGCAAGAAAAAAGAAAAAATTTTAATTTAAAACGAATGGTTTCCCGAATGAGACAACGAAAGGACTTATTAAAAAAACAAAATATCGCTTTAAGGAAGAAAAGTGAAGATAAGTGTATTGAAAATAAACTATTACATGTAAGTATTGCAATCGCAGGAAAATTGAAATCCAGAAAATCCAAAAAATAAAGCCCAGTATTATAATAATAGCAACTATTTGATATAAATGGAATCATTAATACTACAAAACTTATGATTTATAGTTTGACGTATACGGATTTTATTAAAATAATGTCAGTCAATATATAATTCATTTATCGATTCTAAATAATAATTTTAGTTAATTATATTGATAGTTCAATATTATAAAATTGAATGAATAAAATTGTATTATTGTTTGTAATTTTTCTGATTAAATAATTTGATATATATCGCTATTTTTTTAACAAAATACATTTTATTTCAGTATACATTAGGACCAATATGAAAGGCAGTTTATTCAAAATTAGTTTCTAAAAGAAAAAAGACGGTACACCAAAAGGAAATACGAATTTTTGCTTCTACCGTCGCGTTTTTATTATCTAAAGCGTACAATTATGTACGAAATACGTTTCCGTCATTACCACATAAAAGAATACTCCAAAAATGGCTACATAATGTAGATATTGAACCAGGAATTTGTCAAGTAGCTATAAATATAATAAGGGAAAAATGTATTGCAGCTAAAAAACAAGAACAAAAACTATTTTGTAGTTTAACTGTAGATGACATGTCTATTAAAAATTAGTCAGATGGAACGGGAAGAAATACACGGGTTTCGTAACAAACAATGCAGAACAAGTTAAAGTAAACAATCTCTTAACAGAGCAACTCAAGTAATGGTTACAGTGGTTATTTGCTTAAATGAGAATTGGAAAATTCCACAACTCCAAAATGGGAAAAATAGAGCTGTAATCATTAAAGAGTGTATCGTACAATTACATGTTACTGATATTAATATAGTATCGTTAATATTTGATGGTGCAGCATCGAATATTAGAATGGCCGAATGCTTGGGGGCAAAATTTGAGTATAGTAAAAATTTTGACATGTCAATACCTCATCCGGTAACAGAACAACCGATATTCATATTACTAGATGCATGCCATGCTATTAAACTTGTTCGTTACTCTAGGCGGAAAGAATGTTTTAATTGATGGTAATAATGACAAAATAGACTGGAATCATTTTAAAATTTTAGTTTTACTGCAATATCAGTACAAATTACAAGATGTCATATCAACTATTTTTCTGAAAAAAATGAAAGTTAAATTAGCAACTCAATTATTCAGCGCCAGTGTCAGTAATGCTTTGGAATATTTACGGACAGTTGCTGAAATTCCACAATTACATAATTCACATGGTACAGAAAAATTTTGTACTGTAATGAATGACGCGTTTGGTACTTTAAATTCCCAACAAAAATTTGCCAAAAATCCGAATAAAAGTGCAATTAACTCCAAAAATATCACAGGAATATAGATGAAAGTTGCAGAAATTGAAAAATATATAACGTCTTTATAATTAAATGAATTACCTATATTAGAAAGCCAAAGAAAAGTTGGACTTTTTGTTTTAATTACATCACTGAAAAGTTGTATATCTATCTATGAAACGTATATTTCGCCAGAATCTTCGCTATGCTATCTGTTAACTTATAAATTATCACAAGATCATTTGGAGTTATTTTTTTCTAATATTAGATCTCGTGGTCGAAATAACAATAATCCAACCACCGAACAATTTGAATCTGCATTAAAGTGGTTATTAGTATATGCCTCTAATGGCGGCTCTACAAACGCAAATTGCATCAGTAAAAAGTGACAAAGATGGTAAAAAACCAAAGTTTAAAAAATTAATTATTAATAAAAGTGATACTATTGTAACAGCTATATCCAACGACATTGATCAAAATCATAGTATTTTACCAGTATTATTATTGCCCTCAAGTTTATGAAGGCTATAATAAAACATATAAAGGATGTTGTTAATTATATTGCTGGATTCGTAGCAAATAAAGTAGTTAGAAAAATTAAATGCAGGAATTGTGAGAAAATATTGGTCGCTAAAGAATCCCAAGTTGTCTACAAAAAATTAAGGATAGAGGTAAATTAATATCAGCTTTATCAGTAGTCTTAGAAATATGTACAATAGCTGAACGTAAGAGAAACAGACATGTTTTAATGGCTACTACCATTTCTAAAATACCGTCTTGGCAAAATTGCCAAAACTGTTTACACCACAGTCAAAAAATTTTTTATAAAACATTTGG